CAGGGAGGCCCACAGGGTCCAGAAAAATCGTTTCTGGGGGGAGGCCGGGAGGTTTCCATGTGGACCCCTCCTTCCAGGTGAAGGAGCAGTGGGGGGAGCATGAGAGGCGGCGGCCTGTGGAGTAAAGCAGGTCTGAGACCAGTCGGGGTCAATATAAAAGACAAAAAGAATGACACGGCCATAGGTATATACCCATGATGGTGAACCTATGGCACGGGTGCCACAGGTGGCACACGGAGCCATATTGGTGGGCACTAAAGTGTTGCCCTAGCTCAGCTCCAGTGGGCGTGTGCGCACCGGCCAACTGATTTTCAGGCCTTCTGGTCCCACCGGAAGTCAGGAAACTGGCTGTTTCCGGCCTCCAGAAGGCCTCCGGGGGGATGGGGAAGACTGTTTTTGCCCTCCCCACGCTCCTAGAAAGCCTCTGGAGCCTGGGGAGGGGGGAAAACGGGCCTACCGGGCCCACCGTGCCACCATGTGCCAAAAGCAGGGGGAAGTGTGGGGGGCCACATGCGCATGTGCGGGAGGGTGGGGCGCATTGAATTATGGATGTGGTCACAGGCACCCGTGACTCCCCACGCTCCCCCCACTTTTGGCATGCGACAGCAAAAAGGTTAGCCATCCCTGGTATATACTATAGGCCACCCAATCAAGCAGAAAAAAATAGATGTCCTTTTTGCCAACCAACTAACAAACATGTGTAGGAAACACACTACAATAGTAATGGGGGACTTCAATTACCTGATATCAACTGGAAAACTAATTCTGCACCAAGTGAAAAATCAAATAGGTTCCCAACTTACCTAGCTGACAACTTTGTTGTCCAAAAGGTAGAGGAGGGAACCAGAGGGACAGCCATACTGGACTTAATACTTAGAAACAGAGAAATGATAGAGGGAGTGGAAACTGCAGGAACCTTGGGTGAGAGTGACCATGTCATACTAGAATTCAACATAATGCAGACACATGCAGTAGAACAAAATGATATCAGAGTCCTAGATTTTAAAATAGCTGATTTTAATAAACTCAGAATTTGGGAAAGATTCCTTGGATGAAGATCCTAAAGGAGAAAACAATTCAAGAATCTTGGGAAACTCTGAAAAAATACGATCATAAAAGCCCAGACCAGCGCAATACCGCTGAGAAAGAAAAACAAGAAATCCAAGAAGAAACCAGCATGGCTGCTCAAAGATCTCTCTGACAAACTGAAAGACAAAAAGGACAAGTACAAAAAATGGAAAGAGGGACACATAACTAAGGCAGCATATCAGCAGACAGCCAGAATTTGCAAATATGAAGTCAGGAAAGCAAAGGCTCAGAATGAACAGACTTGCAACAAAAGTCAAAGATAACAAAAAAAGTTTCTTCCAACACATAAATAACAAGAAAAAAATCAAGGAAACAGTCGGTCCACTATAGAGAGAAGATGGCAAGGAAGTAACAGACAACAGAGAGAAAGCAGAGCTGCTTAACTCATTCTTTGCATCGGTCTTCATGCAAAAAGAAACTATAGCCCAACCTACCAGAAACATAACTGTAAAAAACAGACTGGAAATAAAAGTTAAAATAAGCAAAAAAATCAGTAAGAGAACACCTGTCTGATTTTGATGAATACAAATCACCAGGACCTGATGGATTACATCCCAGAGTTCTAAAGGAGCTGGCAGATGTCATCTCACAATCACTGCACTACATCTTTCAAAAATCCTGGAACATCGGGGAACTACCAGGGGACTGGAAAAGAGCTGATGTGGTTCCCATCTTCAAAAAAGGAAAAAAAAAAAGTGGGGGTTGGGGGGAAACAGACCCAGGATACTAGAGACCAATCAGCCTAACATCAATACCCGGGAAAGATAAATACTGGATAAATACTTTTCCAAGATACTGGAAAAGATAATATAAAAACAGAAACGAGTAAAGTAATAAGTAGCAGTCAGCACGGGTTTGTTAAAAACAGATCATGCCACACCAATCTTATTTCCTTTTTAACATAGTGACTAAATTAGTAGATCAGCAAAATCCTGTGGACATAATACACAGACTTCAGCAAGGCCTTCGACAAAGTAGACCACAACCTCCTTCTTCGTAAGCTAGAAAAAAATGGGATAGATGGCTTCACCACCAGATGGATTCGCAACTGGCTGACAAACCAAGCTCAACGAGTGAGTAGTCCTTAATGGGTCTAAGTCTACATGGAGAGAAGTAAGCAGTGGGGTGCCACAAGGTTCCGTCTTAGGCCCAGGACTCTTCAATATCTTCATAAATGACTTAGATGAGGGAATAGAAGGGGAACTCACCAAATTTGCAGATGATACTAAGATGGCAGGAATAGCTGACAGCCTAGAAGATAGGCTCAAGATACAGATGGATCTTGACAGACTTGAACACTGGGCCCTATCTCACAAAATGAAATTCAACGTAGAGAAAAGTCTTACACTTAGGTAAGAAAAACCAAAAGCACACATATAAACTGGGGGAAATCAGGCTTAATAGCAGTGACTGTGAGAGGGATCTCTAAATATGCGCCAGCCGTGTAGCGGCAGCTAAAAAATCCCATGCAACCCTAAATTGCATTAACAGAGGGATACAATCAAGATCAAGTGAGGTACTAAATACAACTCTATAAAGCCCTAGTAAGGCCACACCTAGAGTACTGCATCCAGTTTTGGTCACTATAAAAAAGATGTTGAGACTCTAGTAAAAGTGCAGAGAAGAGCAACCAGGATGATTAGGAGACTGGAGGCTAAAACATATGAAGAAGAACGGTTGCAGGAACTGGGCCTGGCTAGTCTAGGGAAGAGAAGGACCAGGGGAGACAGGAGAGCATCTTCCAGTATTTGAGGGGCTGCCCCAGAGAGGAGGAAGGGGGTCAAGCTATTTTCCAAAGCACCCGAAGGCCAGACAAGGAATAGTGGAGGGAAACTGACCAAGGAGAGATTCAACCTGGAAATAAGGAGAAATTTTCTGACAGTGAGAGCAATCAACCGATGGAACAGAAGTTGCCTTCAGAAGTTGTGGGAGCTTCATCCCTGGAGGCTTCCAAGAAGAGACTGGGCTGCCCTCTGTCAGAAACGGTGTAGGGTTTCCTGCTTGAGAGGGGGGAGGAGGGTTGGACTAGATGACCTATAAGGTCCCTTTCAACTCTGTTAATCTGACCAGGGAACTCGAGGCCGTCCGAGGATGACAGGCCACCAGGAGCTTGGGGGTGACCAATGCAGTTTCATCCTCGCAGGGTCCCTTCACTCACTCCCAGGATTGCTAGAGGGCTAAAGAGAGCGTCCAGGGCCTGCAGCACTTTACCCGCTAGTGCCACCCACTTGCAACGGCCGGCCCTGCGACAGAGCCCGCCTGCTAGCAGGAAGCCCCGGACTGGGGGAAGACCACTAACCCTCATCCTTGCCGGTTGCTGTGGGGGGTGAAGGGAAGGGAGACGCAGAAGCCTCCCCTGGCCCCAGCGGAAGCTTCTGCGCCCCACGAGGTTCGGGGGCATTCCCCGCAAAGCCCATCCGAGGTGGGGTGGGTCCCAAGCAGGTCAGAAGCGGGGGAAGCTCTGCCAACCAGGGCCACGTTCTGGGCGTCGGGGCCCTTGGAGGAAGTCTCTAGCCGAAGCCTCCGCCCCAGCCGGCCTCTCGCCCTCCTTGGCTCAGCGTGGGAGAACCGAAGCGCCTCTCCGGAGCTTCTTCGAGGAAAAGCCGTTCGTCCCCCTCCTCCACCAGGTCCCTTCCCTTGGGGACATCCCCGTCGAAGGGAACCGAAGCTCTCTTAGTCCCGCCAAAACGACAACGGACGTGGGGGTGGGGGGAAGCAGGCAAACAGGGAGCGGATAACTGATTGCATTCCCTTATTTAGCGAAGCATTTACTTATGGAAGAGTGGAGCTGAGGCGTGGGCGTGTGTGGGGAATTCTGGCCCTGCGGGTCTGAAAGGTGGGTGGGGGGGTAAAGGGCTGGACCGCCACAAGGGTTCAATTCGCGTTACAATCGACTGGAGCCGCCTTTGGAGTCAAAGTAAACGTTTCAGATGTCAAGGAATTTGAAAGGCGGGGCAGTCAGAAGTTTGCGGGACTCCAACCAGCCCCGAAAATTTCTTTCATAATCGCCCCCCCCCCAATCCAAAGACATTTTAGAAGAGCATCTGCGATTCTTCATTTCGTTCTAAAAACTCCTTTCTTGTCTGGTTGGACGTGAACTGATACTGCGACCGCTTAAAAGTTATTGCAAACAACCTTGTTTGTATCGGATCGAAAGGCGAGACACAGAAGTCCTTAAACTTTATACGTTTTAAAAAGAGAACTCTATTCGAAAATATTTGGAGGACCCGAAGGAAGGGAAAAGATTAAAACGGCCCAATAAATTTCACAGGCCGCGAAACTGGAATCGGTTTTTATCCGTTACCCAGCAAGGAAGGCCGGAACGAGATTCGTTTTCGGTTGAATAAGATTATTCCACTTTCGGATTTTATTTTATTTTTCTTGATTGTTAGTGAGCGCCGGTGTTGAAGTGATGACGAAAAATATCTCAGTACCAGAAAATCAGGAGTTGTGTTTATTTATTTTTTTTAAAAATGTTTGCCTAACACAGAAGCTTCAACGAAGAATATTTAGGCAGCGCGGAGATTCGCGTTTCCAGTCTCACTAACGGCCTTCTCGGGGGGCGGGACGGGGGGAGACGCGAAGCAGCTCTATCCTTTAAAAGCCCCGTTAGCAAGCACGATCTTGCTAACTGGGGTGCCGGAGTGGGGACAGGACCTGGAGGGATCTTTCATACAGAAGCGGGGGGGGGGGGGAGAGGCGGCGACCCTGTCAGCGCGGATAAAGCGAAAGCAAAAGCAACCTTCCCTTCCAGTCCTCTGTCTGCGACACCCTGAGATCGAGACTGCAGGCCCCCCTCCTGCGGAATCGGGAGCCCTGGGAGTTTCAGCCTTTTATCTCCGAAGAAATCACTTCAGAGTTGTTAATCCGCTTCATAATTATCTCACCCAAAAGTTTTTCTTTTTCCTTTTTTATATTCTCGCAAACGCGTGAAACCGAGGGGCGCTTCGCCCATGTCCCTGGGCCTGCTTGGATATTTTGGGCCTGAAAACAAGACAGCCTCCTTTCCTCCCCCGGGACTGTTTGGCCCGGAGAAAGACCGGAGGGATTTCCCACATGGGTGAGGCCTTTGGCCTGGAAGGAGACCCCGCAGCCCCTGCCCTCCCCTTCACGACGTGGCCAGCCAAAACTGCAGATTTTTCTGCCCAAACAGAAATTCGCGTTCCTCGCCTGCACGGACAGAGAGGTAAACTGTCCGGAAAGAGGCCCTTAAAGTAGGACAGAAGCGGGGCAAAAGCCTTTTTCACCTTTCGCCCCACCCACCCCCTTTTCTCTTGCTCTTTGAAACCGTGGGGGGGGGGTACAGGAAGGTCCGGCGGGGCGTTTCGGGTGGCTTGTGCCCCGCTGAAGCCCCCTGACCCTGCGCCTGTCAGAGGAAGCTGGCCTCTCCCGGCCAGGATCTGGTGGCAGCGGAGGGCCCCGGATGCGAAGTCGCCAGAGTCAGAGGGGCCCCAAAGCGCCTGGCAGGTTGCCCAGCGGGTCTGGGAGCCGGGAGCCACGAAGGCCCCTTTGTACTCAGGGTCTGGGCCGACATGGACCAAGCCGGAAACGCTGGAATCGCCAGGACCGACCACGGAGGAACAGTCCCGAATAAAAACCATCGTATTTGGGTGAGGGGATTATGCCTCCCCCCACTTTCATCCCCCCCGACCTGCCTGGCCCGGACCCTGAGCAGTTCAGCGGGGCCTCCGAAGCCGCCCGGAGCAGGATTTGCCGCCTGATCCGCCGAGCCGCGTGGCGACCGCCAGGGGTCGCCGCACCGGCAGGAATTGGGGGGTCCCTGGGGGTGGGCGGGGAGCGAATTTCTTGGACGGAGGCCGCGGGACAAGTCAAGACCACCGGGGCCCGAAGGGAAAGCCCTGGCAGAGGAAGCCCGGCCGGAGGGAAAAGCGGACGGTCCGCACAGCGCCAGCTTCGCCCCCCTCCGACTGCCCCGTCCTGTCCGGGAGACCCACCTGGTCGCCGAGCGGCCGCGCGCCCCTGGCTCCCGCCGGCGCCGCCCCAGCCGGCTCTCCCGCGCGCCGGTCCCCTCGACGGGGCGGTCTGGGCTCCCGGCAGAGCGCGGCCGGTCCTGCTCCGATGGGCGCGCCGCGCTGGCCCCGCCCTGCTCTCGGGGGCCCAGCCTTCCCCTGCCTGCCCCCTTTGCCGGGAGGGGGTCGCGGTGCGGTCTCCTCCCCGGGGCTGCTCCTCCGGGACCCCGCCGGTGGCTCCTCCTCCCGCCGCTCGCTCCCAGCCCCGCTGCCCGCCCGCCCGCTCGCCTGCTAGCTCGGCGCTCGCTGGCTGGCTGGCTCGGAGGCGGAGGAAGCCGCGGCGGCTCCTTGAACACGCCCGAGTTCAGCCCGGGGTCAGGCGGAGTTCGCGGCCCGGCCTTTACCTTTTCCGCCGCCGCGGCGCTCCCGGCACATGGGGACCAGCCGGCGCAGCCTCCACCAAGCGGCCTGAGGCGCTGCGAGGGGCGCAGAGGAGCCGCCGCCGCCGCCGCCGCCGCCGTGGCAGCCGGGCAGAGACATGCGTGTCCACGCGGACCTCGCCTGCCTGGCCGATCCGACGGGGCTTCCAGGTAAGCCGGGGCCGGGGCGGGCGGGCAGACTTCGGACTCCGCGCCTCTTGCCCGCTCCCCGAGCCGGCTCGGCCGGCCTCCTCGCGGGCGGATTCCGAAGTCAGTGGAAGGAAAGGAGCCGCTCCGCCCGGAGGCATCGCGGCTCTGACCAGTCCCCGAGCGGCGGCTCCTTTTGGGGAAACGGGTGTTGCAGCGGGACCCTGTCCGCCTGGCTGTCCGACTTTCTCCCTCGGCCCCGGAGCCCCCGGTGCAGCCCGGAGCCCTCTCGCTCGGGGAAGGGCCTGCTGCGGCCGGGCCTCCTTCATCCGCCCGCCCTGCCTTTGGCGTCCTCGTCCTGCCGAGGCGGCAGCAGCGCCGCCACCCGAGTCCTTCAGCCACGACTGCCCGTCCCGCGAAGGTTTTTACGGGCGGCAGCGGCGGGGCTGCTGCCGCCGGATTTCAGGACGGCTTTGGGGGTTTGGGCGGCCTTGTCCCGCGCAGGCCAGCCGCCCTTACCCGGCCATCCCTCAGCTGCACAGGGATGCCGGCCAGAAGGAGCCAGGCGGAGACTGGTTAGGGGTTCCGGATCAGAGACCGGGGGCGGTGGGCTCTGGCGAAGAACGGCCCCGAAGGATGCCCGCAGCGGGTAAAAAAAATGGGTTGGCCACCCGCCGGCTCGGGCCGCAGGGAGGTTCCCTAGGCAGGCTGAGCCGCGGCCCTGCGAGCGCAGTCACCCTGTCAGCCGGGCTCCCCCGTTCTTCTCCGCTCAGGCCTACAGCCCTGAAGGAGTCTCGCCCCCTCCCCAAACCCGGCCACTAGCGGTAAGATGAAGGTCCGAGAGGCTAACGGCGCCCGGGCTTTCCCTGACTCCGGAGGGCGACGGGTAGAGAAACGGCGCCGGGATCCAGCTCAGTGCTTAGCACAAGGGGTCCGCGCCCGCGGGTCTGTCCCGCCGGCGGAGGGGTCGGGGGAGGCGATGCGAGGAAATTGTACCGACGCTGCCCCGCCAGGTGTAAAGCCCCACCCGGAGGAGGGCGTGCGAGGCTGTGATCCGGGACCCACCGGGGCTGAGCCCCCTCCTCCTCCTCCTCCTCCTCCCTCCGCCGCCTATGAGGGGAAGCCCCTCTATAAGGGGAGCCGGTGGGCAAGACAAGGCGGCGGAGAGCAGGAGAGGCGCCCGCTTCCCGGGCCTCCGCGTGGCGGGCGAACGTGGCCGGCCCAACTAAGGCCCGCTGGGCTCTCTCTGCTCCACCCCCGCAGGCGCAGCGATGTTGGATGCCTCGGAGGCGACGGGCCACTCCCGGCAGCTGCTGCTCCAACTCAACGCGCAGCGCACCAAGGGCTTCCTTTGCGACGTGATCCTGGTGGTGCAGAACGCGCTCTTCCGCGCGCACAAGAACGTGCTGGCGGCCAGCAGCGCCTACCTCAAGGCCCTGGTGGTGCACGACAACCTCATCAACCTGGACCAGGAGATGGTCAGCCCGGCCGTCTTCCGCGCCGTCCTCGACTTCATCTACACCGGCCGCCTGGGCCCCGGCGCCGAGGGCGAGGCTGAGCCAGCCGGCGGCGCAAACGGCGAGCCTGCCTTGGGAGCCATCCTGGCCGCCGCCAGCTACCTCCAGATCCCGGACCTGGTCGCCTTGTGCAAGAAGAAGCTGAAGCGCTCCGGCAAATACTACCAGCTGCGCGGTGGCGGCGGCGGCAGCGGCGGGAGCTATTCGGCCTCCGCGCCCTTCGGAAAGCTGGCCAGGGGCCTCCGCGCTGCCACACCGGTTATCCAGAGTTGTTTCGGGGCTCCGCAGCGGCCGGTGGAGCCGAACAATCCGCTCAGCACCCACTGCGGGGAGCTGTACGCCGCCGCCGCCCACCCACACGGGCTGTGCCCCCCGCTCTGCGGCCTTGACCTCTCCAAGAAGAGCCCGAACGGACCCTCCCCGCAGCTGCCCCCGCAGCCCCCGTCCGAGAGCCGCCTCCGAGCAGCGGTGGAGAGCCGCGAGGGCGTCCTGCCGCCCCGGTCCGAGAGCCCGGCCTTGCTGCCTCCCCACGCGGCCTTCGGGGAGCCCGGCTCCACGGCCCCGCTCCAGGCCGCCTTCCCCCACCTGCACCATCGCGGTAGCGGCGGCGGCAGCCCGGGGACGGAGCCGAGCGCTCGGGTCGAGGTGGCGCCCGAATTCCTCTACCGTTGGATGAAGCACGAGCCGCTGGTGGCTGGCTACGTCCTGGATGAGGAGGAAGAGGAGGAGGAGGACGACGAGGGCGACTGTGGCGGCGCCCGGCGGGAGCAGGGCAGCGGTGGCGAGCGAGAACTGGAGCCTCAGGCCCCGTCGCCTCCCGGGCCGCCTCCGCGCCACTACCTGGAGAGCGCGGAGCCCGACGGGGAGGCGGAGGACCTGGAGCCCGACAAGAGCACCAGCGAGGAAACGGGCTGCAGCAGCGGCGGCCCTTCTCCCGCGGGGGGCAGCCTGGAGCGCTACCTGGGCTACGAGCCCGAGAGCTTCGGGGGCGACAACCTCTACGTGTGCATCCCCTGCGGGAAGGGCTTCCCCTCCTCCGAGCAGCTGAACGCGCACGTGGAGGCGCACAACGAGGAGGACGAGCTGTACCGCAAGGAGGCGGCCGAGGCGGCGGCGGCGGCGGGGCAGGGCTCGCCCTACCTGGACAAGGCGCCCCCGCCGGCCGCGCCCCCGCCGCCCCCGCCGCCCTCGGGGGGCCCGCCCGGCTGCGACCTGCTGCGCCCCTATCGCTGCGCCTCCTGCGACAAGGCTTACAAGGACCCGGCCACGCTGCGCCAGCACGAGAAGACGCACTGGCTGACGCGGCCCTACCCCTGCTCCATCTGCGGGAAGAAGTTCACGCAGCGCGGCACCATGACCCGCCACATGCGCAGCCACCTGGGCCTGAAGCCCTTCGCCTGCGACGCCTGCGGGATGCGCTTCACCCGCCAGTACCGCCTGACCGAGCACATGCGCATCCACTCGGGCGAGAAGCCCTACGAGTGCCAGGTGTGCGGGGGGAAGTTCGCCCAGCAGCGCAACCTGCTCAGCCACATGAAGATGCACGCCGCCGCCGCCGCCGCCGCCGCCGGCCCCGACGGGAAGCTGAAGCTGGACTTCCCCGAGGGGGTGCTGGCCATGGCGCGGTTGGCGCAGCAGCCCCCGCCGGACAAGGAGCTCTTCCAACACACCTCGCACTTCCTGGCCGCCGCCGCCGCCGCCGCCGCCGCCGCCGCAGACCCCAAGGCCGCCCTGGAGAGCCTCTACCTCGGGCTCAGCCCCGACAAGACGGCCGAGGTCTTCGCTCCGGGCGCCGTGGTGGCCGCCGCCCACCACCTGCACAACGACCACCACGCTCGGACCATTGGCCGCTTCTCGCCCCCCTGACGCCCCTCCCCCCAGGCCTGGGAGGCGCCCCTTCTGACCTCCCCGGAAGGGGCCGCCTCGGGGGTGCCAGCGGCACCAGGGCCGACCCCCGGCTGCGCTTCGCTCCTTTCCCGTCTCCCTCGGCCCTCCAGCTGGCCAAGTATAGCCAACTCGTCCCTACCTCAAATGGTGCCCTCCGCCTCCACCGCCTCCGGGCGCGGAGGTCTCCGGCTGCAGAGGAGGGGGCGGCGGGCAGGGTCGCACCTGCGCCAAAGGGGGCGTCAGCGAGGCCTGACGGGGATCGGTGCGAGCAGAGTTGGGGGTTCCCTGCCCCGGGCGGGAGGCGAGCCTCAGTTTGTTGGGACGAGGAAGTACGACGGGTGAGCCGGACTGAGCCAGCTGCCTCTCGCCCCAGCCTGGAGAGAGCCTAGCAGCATAGGTAGCTGGCGAAGGCCAAGCCCCCCCCCCCTTCCGCTGTCAAGTTGCCTAGCTGGGGTTGGAAAGCTGCAGCCCCTGGGGGGGCTCTCTGAATCACAGCCCCCCTTCTGCCTCGGGGAGGGACGGAGAGGTGTGTCAACCGGCCTCTTGGGGAGACCCTCACTTAACGGCTCCTGAGCAGGTGTATGTCCCCCCTCCGGAGGCAGAAAATGCTCGCAACGACACCCCTCGGGAACTCCGGAGCAAAGCTTCGCGGGAGTTGGAGGGGGGGCTTATTGTGGCAGCCAGAGCCTTTCCTGCCTTCCTGGGCCTGGGAGAGGCTCCCGCATCCCCGGCGAGGCCCTCCAGCCTCAGAATTGCCTCCTCAATGGCAGAGGAGTCCTGCCCGGCCTCAAGCCCCCAGAAGAGCGGGGGGGGGGGGGGACGGGGTAGACCCCAGCCGGCCCCCCTGGGGGGTCCTCGCTGCTGCGCTGGGGCCGCCGCCGCGTGGCGGGGAGGGAGGGAGGGAGGGAAGGTCTCGGGCAGCTGGTTGAAAACTGCTGGTCCGGGTGTAGGATGGGGGGGGGATTCCTCAAACTTGTATTGCAATGTGAAAAGGAGAGGGTGCCCCTCTCCCCTCCCCCCCATTGTGGGTCAAAAGGAGCAAAGTGGAAGGGAGACCCTCCACCCTGGCCTGAAGGTGGCAGCACCCTCTCTGGGCTCCAAATGTAGCCCCCCTCCCGTGAAGACCCTGACTTGCTTTCAGGATGGGGCACCCAAGACCCCAATAATATTTGACAAAGACAAAATGCCATCTATTTGTCGGCTTCGTTGAGGACGGGGGAGCTTTCTCTGGGGCTGGGCTTCCTGCCCCACTCCCCAGAGGGTCTGTGCCTTGCCTCTGTGGGGCTAGCTACCTGCCGCCCAGCCTCTGCTGCACTTGGGGTGGGGGCTCTAGGCCAGCCCACCCAGCTGTCCCTCTCCCCCCCCACTCTTGACCCCAACCAACCACGGAAAAATGTGAAACTGCTCTGTCTTTGCACACACCTCCTTGCCTCCCTCCCTCCCACCCCCCCCACCTGCCCACCTCTTGGGCTGTGTCTTCATCTGAGCCAGCTGCCTCTCCCCCCAGCCCTGAGAGGACCCAGCGGGAGTCCCCCCCCCAGTATGGGGGACCCCACCCAAAGCACCCAAAGGGGCCGTCTCCCGTGCCTTCTGTAGCCTTGGGGAAGGGATGCAGGGTTTTTTTGTATCGGAGACCAAAACCAAAGAGCATTTCAGCATCCCAGAAGAAAACAAAGCAATAAAGTTTTTTTTAACACTGCTGCCACCATCCGGGCCTCTGCTTCCTTGAGTGGGTTTGGGGGGGGGAGGGGGGAAGCCGAGTTTTGGGGTGCTGCTGTGGAACGGATGGAGGCTCCTTTAGGGAGAAGCAAGGCCCGGAAATGGCAGCCTCTGTGAAGGAGGGGGTCACCGGTGCTACGACCCCCTCCCCCTTCCTTTTGCATGGGGGTGGGTGGGTGCCTGACAGAAGGGAAGCCGAATGCAAAGCCGGTGCCAGAGGTTGGGGTGGGCTGGAGCCTTTTCAATGTCAGAAAATGCTGGGGGGGGGGGGCAGCACAGGTGCCTTGCCCTGTTTGCACAGCTGAGGCAGGAAATGGGAAGGGGTCAGCTCTCCCCACGGACCCTCACGCTTGGCTGCTCAGAGGAAATTCTCCCCCACTTCCTTGAGATGCTCAGATCTGGCCGAAGAGCCCAGCATCGGCCACCAGCCACCGCTGAGCGGCTATTCTGTCCACACCCAAAGCGGCGGCCATTGATGCGTGTGGCATGTTGTTTGCTCCCCACACACAGCACATGCCTGGAGCATGATGGCCCCGTAGGCCATGGCGCTGGGTGCTTCGGCCTGGTCCAGCCATCCTCAGGAGGGCTTTGTTGATTGTACTGATCCGATGGCTGGCTGGTTTGGTTGGGGGTCTGCAGGGGGTGGGACCACCCGAAACAGCGGCTGGTCCATTGTGTTTGCTGGTTCTCCGTTTGTGTGAACTGCCCAAACGCAGCTTAGGACAACTTGGGCATTCCCCTTCAGCGGCTGGTTGTCTCTCCCCCCTTCCTCCTCTCTCATGGCCCCCAGCCCCAAAGGAAGCAGCCGAGAGTAAGATTTCTACTAAAACTTTATTAAGAAAACAATGGAACAAAAGTGGGCATAGGCCCTCCGTCCAAGCCAGTCAGGCAGAGGCAGAAGCTGCACAGGGTGGAAGAGACCCCTTCTCTCTCCTCGGCAAAGGGGCCATGCCAAGCCCGGGGAGGGGCACGCACTCCTAGCCCACTGCGAGCAAATCCCGTCCAAAGGGAAGGCAGTTGGGCTCCTCCGCCCCACAGCAAACCAGTCCTGGCACGTGGCCCCACGGGGGCACTCTATCCCCCCCCCAAATGGCAGGAAAGTCTTCCCATGGGGAAGGGCTCTCCCGACCCATGCAACCACTTTCGGAGCCCCAAGGTGCACAAACACTCCAGCTGGACCCCAGACCCCTCTGCTCTCCTCCAGGGCGGCTTTCCTGGCCATTCTCCCCCACCAACCCCCAAAAAGCTTAAGGGTTATTCTTGGCTTCTCTCCCAAGCCTTACCCACAGAGCAAGCGCTGGCTGGGCTGGGCAGGGGTGCTGGGCAGGGACGGGGAGGGTGCTTCAGTCCATGGCACAGAGGGATGAAGGACCGGAAGGCGGCACGGATGAGGGAGGGGCTAAAAACCTGAGACAGACACTTGGGGAGGGGGCTGCTGATGGAAATGGGAGGTGCCCCCCCCCTCCGGCTCCTGATGGGACCAAGTGGCAGCTTGAGCCGAGGGCTCCTCACCTGGCCCAGAGGGACCCAGACTGGCTAGGGCTGCGGGGGCTTCTCCAGAGGGGTTAGAGGCCCACTGGGGCCCCTCCGGCCGGCCTCTCCGCCTCACCCTAGAGGCCAGAAACCCTGCTCGCTCTCGCCTCCCTCCACAGGGGCCACCTGCCCAGGGGCTCCTCCTCCACGCGGGTGTGTGCCCCCACAGCATGGCCATTCCAGGTGGAGTTGAAGACGCTGCGTTTATTGTGCTGGGTTTTCTCCTGGAAGGATGGTGGTGGCGGCAGTGGTGGCAGCACAACAGCCCTGGCAAGGGGCACGGGCACGCCCTGAGGCCTCCCTCCATGTTGGCAATGAGATGCACGGCTTCCCGGGGAAGGCGTCCGCTCAGCCCTCCTGGGCCCACCGCAGGAAAGTGGGGATGTCCCGCACGGGCACATTGCGGGTCAAGGCCTTCACCCGCAGGTTCCGGTCGTCGGTCAGCAGCACCACCTCCCGGAGCAGGCGGATGGGGTCGTCTGCAAAAGGCGGGCAGCAGGGAGGACGGGTCAGTGGCCGCTCTGCCTGGGCCTCACCCAGCCCCGGGACAGTGCCTGCTCGGCCAGGATCCGGCCCCTCCCGGCAGGACCTTCCCGGGGCTTAACAATAAGCATCCCGGGGCCAGCCAGGAGGCGGGTTGTTAGAAACCAGAGGCTGTCAGATTGTCAGGCCCCATCCGCCATAATCCCCTGATCCCCGATTCCGTCCCAGCCAGGCATAAACACTGCGAAACGCCTTCTCCGTCAAGCTGACAAGTTAAGCTGCTCAGAATTTGGCCCGACAGGCATGGGGCTGGGCTGAGCAGCTGCGGCCCCCACTTCCAGCCCCCCTGGAAACGGCTCCGGAGCAGCCAGGAGGCGGCAGAAGGGCCCCCTCAGTCTTCCAGGAAAGGGCCGGGCGATGGAGGGCATTGGAGGGGACCGATGACGGGGCACCTAATGTCCCCCCTGCGCTCCCGCTGGCTTCCCCCACCCCACCTTTGGTCTCCCTCCAAAGTGGGCCCCCATCTGCGGGACCCCCTGGGGGTCATCCGAGCTCTTCCCTACCCCCTCACCTTTCTTGGCTGGCATGAAGTCCTTGGCCCTGTCGTTGCAATAGTGAAGGCAGCAGGAGAGAATCAGGTCATCGTTGTTTCCCTGGGAAAAAGGAGAGGGGTGGGAGAGGAGAGGTTGAGGGTCCCGGCTGGGAGAGGAAAAAAGGCTCTTCGGAGGCCACTGCCTGGAACCGGCCCGCTGGGGGTGGCTGCTGGCCTCACAGGGGGAAAGCCTGCCCAGCCCTTTCCTTCTCCCAGGGAGACGGGAAGGCAGGAGGGGGCAGCTGCCAACAGGGGCCAAAAGTCTCACTGGGGCGGCAGCAGAAAAGCCCCCCATGGGGGGGGGGGGAGACGCAGCCCCTCTGGCCATTGAATAGTGCTGTGCTACATTTGGGAGAATTCTGCTCTGGGCCCCTCGGAAGCTGCCTCTTGGAATGAGAGGGGTCCCCCTGAAGCCCCCTCCCCAATGGCAACAGGGGCTGATTTCGTTTATTGATCCGTGCCCCTCCATTTTGGTCCTTTGCATGTGCCTGTCCCGTTTCTGTGGGGGCTTCAGAAAGGGGGTTCCCAGGAAGAAAGTCCCCCGTTTTAGGCGGGGACTGAGCCGCTCAGGGGGAGGAGCCTCTGGATGCTTGGGAGCCTGGGATCCCATTGGCCGTTTCTGCAGCTGCGTCACGTGTTGGGCTCTTCTTCCAGACCCTCAAATCTGCTCCCGATGGACTCCACAGGCCCACACAACATGCTGTATTCAGGCCGGGGCCTTTTCTACACGACCACTGGGCCCCTTTTGCAATTCACTGCGCTTGTTTCTGTCCGCTCTGCCATCAAAAGAAAAGCCTCCCCCTGCAATCGTGACCGTCAGCTCCGAGGAGCCTCTCTCCTCCATCTTTTGTGCTCTCTGCAAAAGTGATCATAACATTCCCCTGCCTTCCATGTAAAACATTTAACGTTACAGTAGTCCTTGATTTACGACCACAATTGAGCCCTAAATTGCTGTTGCTAAGTAAGACAGTTTTAATACCAATAGCCCTTAACTTATATACCACTTCACAGCTCTCTCTAAGCGGTTTACAGAGTCAGTGTATCACCCGCAACAATCTCATTTTACCGACCTCGGAAGGATGGAAGGCTGAGTCCACCTTGAGCCCTGTCAGGATTGAACTCCTGGCAGTGGGCAGAGTTTTTGCCTGAAATGCCGCATTCTGACTACTGCACCACCCCAGCTCTTAAGTGAGTTATGCCCCATTTTACCACCTTTCTTGTCAGGCTTTTAAGCTAGTCACACGGTTGTTAAGTGAATCTTCCCTGTTGACTTTGCTAATCAGAAGGTCGCAACACGGGGTCAAGTGACCCCCCCCGCGACTGTCATAAATACAGGCCAGTGGCCAAGCCTCCGAATTTTGATCAGGTGATTATGGGGACACTGCAACGGTCGTAAGTGTGAGAAATGGACATAAGCTTCTTTTTCACTGCCATTATAAATGGAGGGCTGCCTGAATACTGAACAGTTTGGGGGCTCTTCAGCCCCTCCCTCCAGCCAATGCAGGTCTGGGGGTTCATCCCGGAGCCCTTGGGTCCAGAGCAAGCCCCACCCCCGGGCCATCGGTGGCCTTCCCATTCTCGGGCTCCCTGGAGGCTCCGGATATCCTCCAAGTGGGAGATTCTGACTCAAGGTGGGCATGGGGTGGGGTGGGGGGGTTTCCTCTGATCTCTCCGGGCAGTACCTGCTGGCGGGAAATGTCCTCGCTGCGGAAGGAGATGGACTCCAGCTCATTGCCCCGGCTGGTCAGAGCCCGGATGTAGCTGTCGCGCCTCTCAAAGCAGGACTCCAGGAAGTCCACGGCCTTGCGGGCCCGATCTTGCAGCAGGCGACTGTAGCCCCCGACCCGGTGCTCTGATTCGGGGCCCTTGGCCAGCCCATCCAGTTCGTTGATGACTGGCAGGAGGAAAGAGAGGGGGGGAGGATTCGCATGCGTGCCTCAAGTCCCGCCCAGCCCAAGGTGTGTGTGTATGGGGGGGCGGGGGGGGGGGAGAGAGGCAAAACTGGCTGTCCGGAGGTGGGGGGGGGGGGGGGGGGCTATCGGCCTTGGTTTCCTGTTGCAGCAAGGAGACTGGACAACACTGTTTGTTTGGGGAAGGGAGGGGGGGGCTTTCACTGGGCGTGTTGGGGGGCCCGGGAGCGTGGGACAAAACAAGGGCCGAAGTGACCCTGCTGAGCCCGCCAGGGAGACCGCGCCCTCCCCCTTTGGGATGGCTGATCTGCTGGTCCTCCTGGGCAGCCAGCTGGGCCAAGAACTGAGATCAAGCGGGAACTATGCATCCCTTGGAGGGGGGCTCCCCCTCCCTCCAGCCCCCGGGGCCAGGGACGCTGCCCCTCCTGGGAGAGCTTCCAAGTGGGTGCCCCCCCTCCCCAGCTCCACCAGGCGGAGTGGAGGCGCAGGGGCCTGCTTTTGCAGGGCAGATCAAACGGCCTGCGGATGACCGGCCGAAGGGATGGGGAAGCTGCTCCTCCATCCGAAATCCGTCCCGCGTCCGTGTCCAAGCCAAACAGCCTTCAAAGGAGCGGCTTGTTTGCGCTCCTGCCCAGGCTGGCTTCTCCACCGCCAGCGGGGTCGGGTTCAGGGGACGCGGAGGAGCGAGAGAGCGGGGAAGGAGCCAGGGAAGGCAGCCCCAGTGGGCGGGCAGTGGCCCAAGTAGGCTTTAACTCTTGGTTGCCCCAAGCCGATGGGGCAGAGCTTTGAACCGGAGCCCCAGTGTGGGGGAGAAAGCACGGTCAGTGCCCATCCTGGCCCCTGCAAGGGGGCCACAAGCGGCTGCCACGAAAGGGACCCGACCCTTAACCCAGCCTGGAGGAGGAGCAGGGGGGCTGGGGAGCCATTTCCCCCCGCCCACTGGACAGGGAGAGCTGCCTGGCTCCTGCGAGGATGGCTGCAGCCCAGGTCCTTCTGCACTTCGGAGGAGGAGGAGGGAGCGGAACAGGAGGCTGCCCAATGTTGTCCGTGTCCCGTCCCGTCCCATCCGTCCCCCCCCCCCCGCAGACCACCCAGCAGCCGTTATCTGCTGCCCGCCGAGTGTTTACCCCTGGCAGGAGCCGGCTCTGCTGAGCTGCAGCTTTATAAGGAGAGGAGGGAGAGCCAAGCCGGCGGCTGGACTGGGGGGTGGGTGCCCCGCCTGGCTTCTCCGCTGGACGGTTCCTGCAGGGTCCCTCCCAGCTGTGCTCGGCCTCAGTCTGCTGTGCCCCACTCCATTCCTGCACTGGACCTGGACCACCGGGACGCCGGGTGGAGGGAAGGCGGGGAGGGAGGCCGCAGGTTCACTTGGCAGCCAGTTCCACAAGCTAATTTTGCACCCCTTTTTTCTTCAGTAAGTGTCAGACGCAGGGAGAGACAGGACGCTGCCAGAGCCGACGGTACTTGCGGTAATCGGGTGGCCGCGAACGGCGACTGGGAGAAGCCCACCCCTGCCAGGGGAAAGAATCTAGGGAGGGCTGGACCGAGGTAGGGCAGCGCCAACCCATTCAGCAAGGTGGGTGAAAATTTGGTGAAGATGCCCCCAAATCTTTGAAAGAAAAACCCCATTTATCTGGCAGGCATTCTCGCCTGGAGGACTGTGGGAAACGGGGGAAGGGGGTCTCTTGGCATCCACCGCTTGGGGGTCCCCCCCCAACTCACCAATCAGGGGCACCACAAGGATGAACTGCCTGCACTCCAGCAGCTTGGCGAGGCTGCCCAGGTGGTCGATGAAGCCGTTGGTGTCCGGGACGAGGAAGACAGGCCGGATCTCCAGTTCCATCTGCCTCACCTGGGCCTGGTCCTTCAGCACCGCCTGGGGTGGGGGTGGGTGGGTGGGGGAGAGAGAGAGGCACGTTAGCCACTCGAGTCTGCCAAGGAAAAGGCCAGGAGGCTGGAGCAGCAGCAGCGTCATCCTTATCCAGACTGGGCAAGACCCTGCTGGGCACGATGGGAGCTGTGGTGCTTCAGAATTGGAAGGGAATACCGGTCTGCCACTCCCTCCTAAGACCACTGGAGGTTTTTGAGAAAATATCAAGGGATAATTTGTCCGGGGTGGTATAAGGCAGGGGTGCCCAATCTTGGACCTCAACTCCCAGAATCCCCCAGCCAGCAGAGGGTCTTAAAGAGGCCGCATAAGGTCTCTTGGGTTGGACTAGAAGACCTCTAAGGTCCCTTCCAGCCTTATGATTTTATGACTGTGTTTTGAGGGGAGCTTGTTACGCTGCCTCCTACGCCTGTGAAGCCCCCTCCCCCCAAGACCATCACTCTGAGTTGGGCTGGGAGATCAGGGTTTGTGCCCCCATCAAAAAACCCCTCCGCCATCATGGCATACAAGGTCCATCGGACTGCCGGCTGCTTCATTAACCGACCGGCTCGCTCATTGTCCAGAGCCCCAAATTGCCAACGGAGGCGCTGCCTGAAACACCTGGGGGAACCCCCGCCTGCCTGTCCCTCCCAAAATACTATGCGTGCCCATGTTCCTGTAGGCCAGGTGTTGCAAGAAAAGATCCAGGTTGCTCCGGCCTTCTGCGCCACCTGGCTTATTAAACCATTATTAAACCAGAGGTTTAATTAAATGTCTCATTAAACCATACAACAGAATGCATGTAACAAAATAACAGAGTGGGAAGAGAGCCGTTATTAAGCCGGAGGTCTCGAGGCGAGACAGCCATTCCTCTGGGCCAGCCTGAGGATTTATGCCCCGGCCAGACTTCAGAGGTCCCTTCCAGCCCAGCGTGCCCGTCCCCGTCCCCGTCCCTGCTGGGTGCCATGACCGCCGTGACCGCCGTGCCCCATGCCCTTCCGAGGCTCTTGGCCCGACTGCCAGGCTCCAGGGGCTGAAGCCGCTCTGTGCTGGCTGTCACGTCCCATCGGCTCCCCTGGGCTGGCCAGAGAGAGGACGACAGGATGCGAGCAGCCATGGGCCGGGGCCAAGTCTCCCTCCCCCGTCGCAAGGAAGCCGGCCTCGGGAGGGGGCCGTTTGCCTTGGCAGAGGCCGGACGGGGTGCAAGGACAGGACGAGGCCCCCCCATCAAGGGGGCAGGAGCCGCAGGGCATGCGCAGAGCCCCGCGGGCAGGTGGGCCCGGCTGACGCAGCCGCCCAGGACGTGTCTGCTGCCCAGGAGGACTCATCTGCCCCCAGTGTGGCGGAGCTGCTGGGCGGGGCTGCCCTTCCGCTGCCGGCAGGTGTGCGGGCGCTGGCTCATTGTTTCCCAGCGCGAAAGGAGGGCTGGCCAGCCGGCCAGGACTAAATTTAGACCCAGGCAGCCTCTCCTGGCCCCACTGCTGCTGCTGCTGCTGCAGTTCCCTGGGGAGGGGCTGCCCCGCTGCCGTGCCCAGAAAAGAATGGGGCTGGGAGAGAGAGAGCGGAAGGCCTGGGGTCTGCTTCAGGTGGGGAGCTTTGCTGCGGAAAGGCCGTATCGCCACCTCCAGGCAGGCCGGGCAGCCAGCTGGGTCCAGGGCTGTGCCTGGGGGCTGGAGGGTCCTCTCACCCCAACCCTGGCAGCCTGAGGCCCTGCGTCCCACTTGCTGCCCTCCCCTGGGGTGGCCAAAGACAACCCCCGCTCCTTCCATCCCAGGGCCAGAGGAGCCTCCTTCCCTGCCAGCTGAGGAGCTTCTGGCCTTGGCACAGATCCCAGAGAAGCCCCTCCGGAGGGCAGAGGGCAGGAACTGAGCTGGGAAGTGTTTGTGCCACTGCTTCCCCAGGCCCAGCAGCCTCCCTGGGCCTTGTAGGACGGGGCTGTTGCAGCTACGAGACTGGGGGAGGGGGCACAAGACCCCCCCCCCAGGTTCCTTGTCTTTGTCCCTCTCACCCCTGCCCCCCTTCCTGGCCCTGCCACTTGCCCTAGGGTCCTGGCAGGCAGTGGGCTCCTGCTGGGCGGCTGCAGCAGGCAATGGTGGGCCTGGGGAGCCGATGAGGGAGGGGCTTCTGGGCCCGCAGCCAACAGCCGGCGGGTACACATGTGCAGCCTCTCCCAGCCGGGCCTTTGGCGGCCCTGTTTTACAAGCGTTTCGGCACAGACGGCAGAGTTCACGCATACGGCTAGACAGATGTGTTTGGCCGGGGTTCAAGGCTGGGAAAGGAAGAGTTATGGAGGCAGGAGGGCCCTGGGCACGGCTGAGGGGGGAGGGCAGGGGGAAGGGGAGTCTCACTCGGCTGTCGGGAATCGGTGGGCCGGCAGGGCCGAGGGACCAGCCAGGAGCCCACGGGAGGGACGTGGTGCTCAGCTCCAGCCCAGAGATGCTCTGGAGGACACGTCCCTCACGATGCCCCACAGGAGGGTCAAGCAGGCTGCCCGGTCTTTGCCAGGACCACGCTGGGCACCCAAGGGGCACACGTGGGCAGAGAGCTTCTCCGGGCAACACCAGCCTTTGTAAGAGGCAGGAGCGACTGGCGTCCCAGCATCACTTGGGTGCGTCTGTGTGTTCAGAGGCCAGGGACCCTGGACATGGATGCAAGTCTGCCTCCCCACACACGGCACTGTGGGGGTCTGCCCCCTCTTCTTAAGGGGGCTGGGAAAGGCTGGGCTGCCCACACCAGGGGTGCCTCCTCCTGTGCCAGAGCTACACCGACCTGGATCTTGTCTTGCCGGCGCTGCTGCTCAGCCACCTTCCTGGCCAGCGCCTGCTTCTTGGCCCGCAGCTCCCGGATGTCCAGCTCGCCACCGCTGCCCTCGGCCTCCTCCGAGTCGTCCGGCAAGGCCTCCATCTGGATGTCGTCCTCCTTGTAGCAGAGCGAGGGGGGGGGGAGTGAGAATGAAGGAAGAGCACCATGGCAACGAAGCACAACATGAGAAAATGAAACGCCCGCCCAACCTCTCCGACAGAGGGAGGGGGACCGGCTGCGGGTTCTGGGGTGCCCCCAAAGAGAGGGGCTCCTCCATGGATTGCACGGGGCAGGGACCCTGGCCTCAGGCGTCCAGACCCAAGAAGGCTGGAGACAGGGGCCCGGGACAATCCCCTCCTCTCCCCTTGGAAGGCCAGCCGGGCCTTGCTGTGTGCAGCTGGCTGGCAGGGAGGGGGAGGAGCAGAGCCTTCCTCCTCCTCCTCCTCCTCTCCCGCACACTCCCGCGCGGCCTGCCGAGAACCCCGGGCTACAGGAACAAGCTGGGGCAGAAAAACAAGAGGCGAGATCCCTTAATCACATCAGGATGTGAGAGAGGCCGGGGGGGGGGGGGGGGGAGGAGGGTGAGGGCCCCCCCAACTGCCCCGTCCCTCTTCCTGTACGTGTGCTGGAGGTGGCCGTGCAGCCCTGCTCCCCCCTAAACTCAATCCTGAGCCTGAACCCTAACCCCCCCCTCCCGCCCCCTTCCTGCTGGGCCTGAGCTCCACATTATTAAAACTCTGCCCCCCCCGCCCCCCCTCCTCAACTCTATTTGCCGAGCGCATCTGGAACTCATCGCAGCTCCCAAAAGGAGCGTTTGGGTGGGACTGGCAGGAAAGGGCACCAGCACTCGAGGGACGCCATGCCGAGCCCCCCCCCATTACAAAGAATGGGGGGAGTGCAGGCCGGGCCAGGCACCCCCCCCGCCCCTGCTGTGCGCCCCCCCCTTCCTGCCCACTACCTGATCCTCCTGCAGTTGTTTTCCCTGCTGGCTGGCGGCCGCTTCCTTTCCCATGGCGTCTGGGCCGGGGGCCACGGACACGTATTTTCCACCCTTGAATGCCAGCAAGGGCTCCTCCTGGCCACAGAGGGCTTCCAGGAAATACTTCAGCACCGTCACCCGCTTGCAGTCGGCCGCAATGACCTGCGGAGGAGGGAGGGGGGCGGCGGGAGGGCAGGGGGGGGGAAGAGGAGAGGAGGAGGGAAGAAGAGGAGGAAAGAGGAGAGGAAAAAGGGAAAGAAGGAAGAAGAGGAGAGGAGAAAGGAACGGAAGGGAAGAAGAAAGGAAAAGAAAGAAGAAAAGGAAGGGAGGGAGGGAAGAGACAAGGGGGAAAGATAATAGAAGAGAAAAGAAGAAAATGGAAGAGAGAAAGAAGGAAAAAAGAAGAGAGGAGAGCAGAAGGGAAGAAGGAAATGAAAGAAGAAAGGGATGGAAGGATAGAAGGAAGGAGCAAAGAGAAGAAGAAAGGACAGCAGAGAGGGAGGGAGGGAAAGAAGGAAGGAGAGGAGAGGAGGAAAGAAAGAAGGGAAGAAAAGAAGGAAGGAAGGAAGGAAGGAGGGAGGGACAAAAGCAAGGAGAGGAAAGAGAGGAGAGGAGAGAAGAGGAAGGGAGGTGAGGGAGAGACATTGCCCCACCCAGTTAGAGCACCTCAAGGCTGCTGTGGAGCCCCCCCCCCAACGACCCGCTGCACTTCTCCCTCTGTGGGACCACTACACGCCTCACTGGCCAGCCCAGAGGCCCCCGGAAGCCCCCTTCTCCCAAAAACTGCAAATGGACCCCACCCCCAGGCCAGGGAGAGAGGCCAACCCCTCACCCCCATCCCAGCACCCACCTTCCAGACTGGAGCCCTGGGACTGAGAAAGAGCCCCCCCGCCAGCTCAGAGACCCCCTTTCTGGCAAAGCTTGGTTGACAACGCAGATACCCCCAACGGACCCTTGTCCCAGTAAGCCTTGCCCTGCAGTGGGGTGCCTGTCATTGGGGGGGGGAGCGCTAGGGGTCCCACCTAATCTCCCCAGGTACAGGAGCCTGCTGGGGCAGCGAGACCCTCCCCCTCAGCCCCAAAGGATGGCTGGCACAGGGCTGGGGGGACTGGATTGTACCACCCCCCCACCTCACCCCAACTCCTTTCCTCTCCAGCACCTTCCGATTCTGGAGGGCACCAAGGAGCACAGAAGGAAGCCCCCGAAAGCGGAGCAGCAGGGAGCCCCCACCCCTTTTTCTGCAGCACCCTGAAATCCCACCTCCTGCCGGTCATCTCCTACCCTCGGGCTCTGCTCCCTCTTCCTCAGAAAAGCCCACCCCCATTTCCTCCACCTCAGGCCTTCCACGTCCCCTCGCCCAGCGCCCTCTTCTCCAGCCCCCTCCCCAATTTCCTCCAGAATGGGCTCAGATGCTCACTATGGGCACAGGTGGTCCTTGACTTACAAGGGCCTTCTCTGTGGGGGCACCTACCCTCTGGAATCAGCTGCCCCCAGAGATAAGGAGAATCCAAGACCTCAGTGCCTTCCGCCGTGCCCTTAAAACCTTCCTTTTCCAGCAAGCCGGGCTGGCCTAATTTTTTAAGTGTTTTTAACTTTTAAGTTGTTTTGTTTATCGTTTTTAATTAATGGGGCCAAATTTATATATACTTTTAATTGTATTTTAATATTTGTACTTGATGTTTTTACTTGGCTGTTCACCGCCCTGAGTCCTCAGGGAGAAGGGCGGTATACAAATTCAAAATAAAATAAAATAAAATAAAATAAAACCAGCTCCACAAGCCCCCTATTTCTGTTGCTAAGAGAGACAGTGGTTAAGTGAGTTTTGCCTCATTCTACGTCCTTTCCTGCCACAGTTGTTAAGTGAGTCACTGCAGTTTTTAAGTGAGTCACACAGTTGTTAAGTGAATCTGGCTTCCCCCACTGACTTTGCTTGCCAGAGAGTCATAAAAGGGGGTCATGTGACCCCGGGACACCACGACCGTCATAAATACGAGTCAGTTGGCAAGAGTCCCCATTTTTTTCCTGTGACCGCAGGGCCTCTGCGATGGTCATCAGTGTACAGACCTAAGTCACTTTTTTCAGCGCTGCTGAAATATCGAATGGTCACTAAACAAATCCTCGTAAATCGAGGACTACCTCCCCCCCACCTGTTTTGGAGACCCCGTCCACAAAGTGCTCCGATGCCGCTGACTGTCCCCAAGTGGGGGGCTGCAGTTCCCCTCTGCCCACCTCTGGACGCTGGGCTCAGGGATGCCAGCCTCTCTCCCACCACTCGCATGGCTAGGCGGCCTAGCCCCCCCCCCCCAGCAGAGGCTGGGACCCTCCAGGCCAAAGGGCAGGAGCAGAGCCTGTCTGGGGGCTGCCCCTCTGTCCCAGTGGCCAGGAGTGGCGGGAGGGTCTGCTCTGGGGGGGGGGGGGGCAGGGAAGGCCTTGGCTTCCTCCCTGCCTGCTGGCCGGGCGTGTGATGCGGGGCGGGGGAGGAGGTCTGACCCCACTGTCCTGTAGGTGGCCCCTCCTTCCTGGCTCCTGCAGGAAGCAAGGGAGGCTCCCTCCTCCCCACGAGTGGGCCCGTTGTGTCTGTGACTTGTGCACACAAACATCCCACACTCCCCCCCCCCCAGCAGGGGCCGGCCTCCCTCGCAAGGCTGGGCGCAGGAGAGCTATTTTTACTCGGCACGTTTCCTGTTGCGTTTCTCGCATTTCGAAGCGGCTGTTCTCAAGGCCGCCTTCAAAACAGCCCCAGCAGCCATCACAGCAGCAAGATGGGCAGCTCCCCTGCCTGGGTCTGTGGGTGTGATAGGAAATCAGAGACCTACAAGAGTCCGAAGAGCTCACAGACTTGCTCAGATTAAAAGCAAACTACCCCGGGGGGGGGGGCCTTTTGGGGGGGTAGGGGGGGGGAGGCCCGGGACCCCCGGGGGGGGGCCCGGGGGGGCGGGGGGGAAAGAGGCTCTGGGGGGGGACGCTTGCTCCCCTCCGTCCGCAAGGAGTTTGCCCCTCAAGCCTGGGCTCTCTGCCCTTTCCCCCACCGGCCCACCTCCCGTTTCCAGGCTGCCCCCTCCTCCAGCTGGGCCAAGGAGGGAGCAGAGGGGCCTGGAGGGCGAGGGCAGGCAGAAAGGCTGCTGCCAGGGCCGAGCCCGGCGTGGCGCAAAGGAGAAGGCTCACTCTGAGCTGGCGTTTGCCATGGCCCCCCTGCCCTCTGCTTCTGCTACTCAAAATCAGGAGAGAGCCTGGCAGGTCTGGGCAGGACCACAGCCCAGCCAAGAAGTGGGTGTCTGTCTGTCTGTCTGTCCAGCTGCCCCCACCACCCCCCCGGGTCTCCTTGGAGCAGAGGCCAGCTGGGCAGCTCCATCGACAACCCTTGGTGAGGAGCAGCTGGTCCTCTTGAGGTTAACAGATTAACAGAGTTGGAAGGGACCTTGTAGGTCATCTAGTCCAACCCCCCGCCCAAGCAGGAGACCCTACACCATTTCTGAGATGCCAGTCCTGGAGGATCCTGCCCCCACTGGCTTCCTGAAAACAGCTGAGTCCTTCACGGGGTGAGCTACCATTGGCAGGAGAGGCTGGGCTTCGGTCACAGGACGGCCAGGCCCTTCCGAGAGAGGGGTGCTGGTGGTGCCCAAAGGATGCCAGGCCGTGCCCCGATCCAGCCACGCCAAAAGGCCCATCGTCCATGAAGGCTCCCGGGGGCAGAGAGGAGCAGAAGAGGGCAGAGTGCCTGAGGGAGCAGCCTCTTCTGCTTCCTGCCAAGAGGCTCCAGCGCAAGCTCCCTCCACAGCAGGCCGATGGGCATTTCCTAATCTGGGCATGACAGCACCTCCCCCACCCCACCGCAGGGCAGCCCGCGTCTGCCTGCTCAGGCTGGTCTCTGCCAGCAAGAAGATGACGAAGAGGAGGAGAACAGGGAGAGGAAGAGAAAGGAGGAGGAGGAGATGGAGGAGGAGAGAAAGAAGAAGAGGAAGGAGGAGGCGGAGAAAAGGGAGAAGAAGAGAAAGGAGGAGGAGAGAAAAGAGAAAAGAAGAGGAGGAGAAAAGGGAGAAGAAGAGAAAGGAGGAGGAAGAGATATAGGAGGAGAGAAAGAAGAAGTGAAAGGAGGAAGAGGAGAACAGGGAGAGGAAGAGAAAGGAGGAGGAGGAGATGGAGGAGGAGGAGAGAAAGAAGAAGAGGAAGGAGGAGGCGGAGAAAAGGGAGAGAAAAGAGAAAGGAGGAGGAGGAGAAGAAAGAGAAAGAGAAGTGAAAGGAGGAGGCGGAGAAAAGGGAGAGGAAGAGAAAGGAGGAGGAGAGAAAAGAGAAAAGAAGAGGAGGAGAAAAGGGAGAAGAAGAGAAAGGAGGAGGAAGAGATATAGGAGGAGAGAAAGAAGAAGTGAAAGGAGGAAGAGGAGAAAAGGGAGAGGAAGAGAAAGAAGGAGGAGAAGGAGAGAAAAGAGAAAGGAGGAGGAAGAGAAAAGGGAGAGGAAGAGAAAGGAGGAGGAAGAGATATAGGAGGAGGAGAGAAAGAAGAAGTGAAAGGAGGAAGAGGAGAAAAGGGAGAGGAAGAGAAAGGAGGAGGAGGAGGAGAGAAAAGAGAAAGGAGGAGGAAGAGAAAAGGGAGAAGAGGAGAAAGGAGGAGAAGGAGATATAGGAGGAGGAAGAGAAAGAGAAGATGGAGGAGGAGGAGGAAGAGAGCCCCGCAGCCACTCTTGCTCTCCCGCAGGCCCAGAGCCCGCCCTGCCCAAGGCCCTGGGCATGAGCATGAGCTGGCTCTTAGCACGGGTGGCACCGGCTGGATTTGACCAGGGCTGGTGGGATCAGAGGCAGACGCTGCAAGCGGCTTTGTGGAGACCGAGAGGGGCGGGGGGGGGGGGGGGGGGGGCGGAGGGAGGGAAGAAATGGGGAGCGGCTTAGCTGGGGGAGTTCAGGAAGGGGTTGACGGGCTCCCTCTGCTCCAGAGCTCCATCCCACATTTCGGCTCCGCGCTCACTGGGCAAGCCAAGTCGGAAAGAGTCATCGTCGGCAGAAGAGCCCCCCCTCCCCCCTCCCTCCAGCCCCCAAATCTATGGTCTTGATCAGAATTAGCTCAGCGTTTCCAAGCGGAGGAGCGGGAGGGGTGGGGAGTGGGAATGGGCCGCAGCTGGCCAGATGCAGCGGGTGGATCTGATTCCGCTGCCAGTGGCCAGGCAGGA